TGGGAGATATTTTGGTATTTTGATAATCCAAATTTAAAGTATATTTTTGAAACAATCATTTCTGTACAACTAAATGTAAAATTTAAAAAATACATTGAGTATAAATAATTTATGAATTATTTAAAACTTAAAAAAAATCTTTTAAATTTCAAATCAAATACACATCTTTAATTAGAAAAATCATTTTGGGAAAGCATTTCATTATAAATGAATATTTTAAGAATTAATTCTAAATTTAGCAGAAAAAAATAACCTCAATTAATCCTCATTTGAGTAACATTATTTATGAAGGACCATCTTGGGGATAAATCTCAATTATAAAGGACCACCTAGGTAATTAAAACTTATTGAAGACTGATTTGGGAAAATATCTTATTACAAAGGACTATTTTGGGAATAAATCTCAATTATAGAGGACCATGTAGGTAATTAAAACTTACCGAGGACTAATTTGGAAAAATCTCTTATTACAAAGGACTATTTTGGGAATTTACTCAATTTATTATTGTACCACTTTTGGTTTCACTTAAAAGTCTCATGAGAGCAATGGGTGGATGGTAGGGACGATGGAGTCAAGTTCGAAGAGCCTCGCCTCTCATTTGATATTTCTGTCTGAGCCGCATGAACTATCAATTTTACGAATGGAGCATTGTTGATGTTTCAATTGAGTCGGAGTCTTCTAATTGATAGCTTAATCCACCCCCAAAATATTATATCCACACCTTTTACCTAAATGTCTTGATTCCCACCAATATCAAATGTGTATCAATGAGAAGAAAGCTCCTTGAATAGGAGTAAAAAAATATAAAATATTAAAATAAGAGTCCTTATCCTTTTAATACCAAAATAAGAGTATAATAATAGTGTGATGTGAGAGTACGAATTGGCAGTGTAATGGAAAAGTGATGACAGTGTAATATGTCCGTCAATTGTCGGCGATCCGTGTTGGCACTCCTGTGGCCGACGGTGACAGATGGCAATGCGTGTTAATAGTGTGGCAGTTATAATGTGATAGTATGGTGAGTGTGACAGTATAACAATACAAGTGTAAACTCTTATTTTGGTCTTAGAAAACTTACTATTTCTATTTTCGTATTTTCATGGTTTTTTACTCCTATCAAATAATTTTAATTTTACTTATTCTATAAAACCCATCTACTAATTGGAGTGTAATTTTTGGAGTGTAAATATCTACTATCTAGAGCCTTATAATTGGTTTGGCTATTTTTAAAACCCATAAACGCATGGAGTGGATATAACCCCACACTAATAATCATGATCAATGTAGTAAATATTTTTAATGGCAAATGTGTCAAAATGAACAGTTGATTTGAATGTTCATGTCATCACACAAATTTTGATTCCATTATGAGAACATCCTAATAAAGGAGAGAATCTGGTGTAAACATTCAAACTTTTATTAGGATATTGTCATGATCAAATCAAATTTTTATTAGAATATATGTTATCACAATCGAATCAAAATTTTATTTGGATGCGGTCATCCTGATTACACATTTTTGTAAGAGTGCTTTGAGGACACGAACGATCTCAAGGTTGCACGGCAAGCACTCAACTTGTGCACCAGACTATCTGAAAAATAGACACACTAACACTATGTTTGGTACAGGGAATTATGGAATAAAGGGAAATAACCCTAAAGAAAGGAAAATAAAGACAAAGAAACCAAAATTCTTAATCTTGGTTGTTTGTAGGGAAATTGGTGAGGTTTTTTTTAAATAAATTCTTTGTTTGATTCTTGTAGAGAGAGAAAAAGAAGATATTGTTCAAAGAAAGGGGGAGGTCAGGGGTGGGGGTTGGTGGGGGGCGAGGGAGGAGGGTGGGAGCAGCGGGGGGGGGGGGGGGGNNGGATGAGGGAGGGGAAGGGGAGTGTGGAGTTTGGTATTTTTCTCTTTTTCCTCAAAAAATGGAAGTAAAACCATATTTATATTTAATTTTTATATTACATTTTCCTTGCCTTTTTTTCCTCCCAATTTTTTTTACTTTCTAACCAAGCACCAAAATTATTTTCCTTTATTCCAAAACTTTTGAACCAAACATAGTGTAAATGAATCAGTACCTGTGAAAGGTGCTGAAGGATATTTAGTTCTTTGTCAGCCTAGTTTCCTTTTCAAAAGTCCCTTGAAGAAGTCTAAGCTGCAGTACAAAAGATGCCATTTAAGCCAACAAAATAAAAAGGGTTCTAAAACTGTAATTTAACAAGCCTAGTATAAAAGAATAATATTGGTTCGTAGCAACCAGAGATACAATATTGATTTTCTAAAACACAAGTTTGAAATTACAATGCAGAAACTATATATGGTTTGGTTCTTTAGAAAAAAAGAAAACATATTTACACAAAATAATCTCCATCACAATTGAGATAGGCTTGACTATAGCTATTTATAACTTGTTCCGTAGTATGAAGTTATAGTTATTCTCTTAAAATGAATACTCCCTGAACTAAACTCATGGTTTGCCTTCACGGAGTTTAAGAAAGTGTAAAATGGTAAGAACCACATATTCCATTACTAAGAAGGCAAGTGGATGTTCTTATCGAAGAGATATTCCAAAGGATGCAATGCCCACATATTATCATTACCCAAGGTAGTTAATATCATTACACGGAGTTTAAGAAAGTGTAAAATGGTAAGAACCACATATTATCATTACCCGAGGTAGTTAAGATTTGGGTCCTCAAAGAGGTATTCTTATCGAACGGTATAGAGGACCTACATTTCTTGTCAGTACTTAAAAACACAACTGATAACAAAAAATGAGATGAAATTATACCTGTTTCCATCTGGATGAAGTTCCCATGTTTGACCATCATCAGTTGTGGCTAATAAGTAACCTGTTGGTGATAAGCCCTAATAACAGAAAATAATAGGAAGGAGATAAGTGGCAAAACTGCAAAAGAAAAACAAATGGGCCTATGAAAAGACACTTATGACACCTAATCAAATTGGAGAACGTGAACATGAATTCAGTTGAAACCTATTCAAAATGTAATGCTTTTTAAAATCCAAATTTCTCAAAATGTAATGCTTTTTAATTTTTTTTCTCAAAATTATTGAGGAATATCGTCTTTCTCATACAAGTCCTTTAGCTAAAATTCATGTTTTTTAATTTTTTTTCCATAGAAACACCGAGTCCCCAAGAATGTGCAGCAAGCTCGAGGCCCCAAGAACGTATAGGAGACCAAATGATGCTGGGCAAGTGTGAGCCCCCAAAAATGTGGAGAAGGCACGGTCCTTCAAGATTGCGGGCAAGCACGCCCCCTCAAGAACGCAAGGCAGGTGCAGGTATGATGGGCAAGGTAGATGATGGGGCATTGGAAGCTGGGACACAGGTTGAAGAAGATGTGCCAAATGTGGTTCCACTGTCTCTTGCTGAGGAAAAAGCTCTGGATCTTGAGGCTGCCAATAAATATGGTTAATATTTTTGCTATTCTCTAAACTTCATTGATTTGATTTTTTCGAACTTGTTAGTTTTGGAAGGGAAATCTTTACTCATCTGAATGATTTTTGTTTTTACAGACATGTTTATCTAAACCAATTCATTTTCATAGACCCATTACAGACATGTTTATCTAAACCTGTTCATTTTTAAATATACAACGGATACATTTCTTGTTGAGATTGAATTTTTGATGGAGTTAACAGCAATTGTGGATGCTCTTTACAACTTCATCAAAAACTCAGTCTCAACAAGAAATGTTTACATTGTATATTCAAGAAGGGGTGCAGTGCAGCAAAGAGCTCACGTGCCACGGCCCAATCCTCAATATGCAGCTTGACCAGGAGTTTCTTTAATATTCTTTATTATGTTTATTTCCTAATAATGTGAGGAGGTTAATGGAAGAGTATAGAGCTAGGAAGAAGGACCTTCATATGGTGTTCATTGATCTCGAGAAGGCGTACGATAGGGTGCCAAGGGAGGTCTTATGGAGGTGCCTTGAGACGAGAGGAGTCCCCATCGCGTATACTCGCGCGATCAAGGATATGTACGATGGGGCTATGACTAGGGTAAGGACCTTCGGGGGCGACTCTGAGTCATTCTTGGTAGGGATGGGGTTGCACCAGGGGTCTGCCCTTAGTCCTTTTTTGTTCGCCTTGTCCTAACTCAAGGTGTGCAAGAAGGGGTCCCATGGGGTCCCATGGTGCATGCTTTTCGCGGATGATATTGTGCTTATCGACGATACACGTGAGGGACTAAACGAGAAGTTGGAACAATGGCGCCTTGCCCTTGAGACTAAAGGGTTCAGAATAAGTAGGAACAAGACTGAATACATGGAGTGTCGTTTCAGCGGCAGAGAAACAGAATCAGAGGTGGAAGTTAGGATTGACTCTCACCTAGTACCTAAGGTAGACAGGTTTCGATATCTTGG